AAATTATATAAAAAACTCACCTTGTATAGCACAATTCTCATTAGATTTATTATACAGACAGTGAAAGCTGATACCACTCCAGATTAATTCTAGCAATAAAAAGCAAGTTACCTTTAATTTTGAAGCCTGTGCCCAGCACTCAAAAAATAAACTGAAAGGATTTGTAACGGGTGACAAATCTGACTACATCTGTAGAAGAAAACTAAGGAAATCACTCCAGCTTATGATCCAACCATGTGCAAAGACAAAAGAAAACAGCAAAAACTGTTTGCTGTCCTGGACAGACAGGAGACTTCTCTACGCTCAGAAGAGAGGTGGAGAAGCATCACTGATAGACAGTATCACAACCACCTGCCCTGTATGGCTGCTTCTCAAGTCTGTGCTGGGGAAATGGTCTCCAGCCCTCCTGGAAATGGCAAGTGCTACTGGAAGACTGAAAACTGGAGATTGTCTGGGAATTCTTAGTGTTTTGGAGTTTCCCACCAAGTGTTCATAGACCACAATGCAGCCTTGAATAGCAACAGCTGGAAGTATTCAGTCATCAGGTATTCCTCATCCCTGTGGAGTAAGCTACATTGCCTTTGTCCAGTTACTGAACTTGCATTCGTATCACTGCCACTATTAGTAACTGAAGCACCGAGTACTACAGGATATAGTTACCTGTACAGCTCTTGGGACCTTCCAACTGTGATATGTATTTGTTGCTCAGAGCTACAATCCTCAGACACACATGTTGCAACAACCACAGTCCCAAAGAGCTCATCATCCAGAGGAAAAAAGAGACATTCAGGGAGGTGAAACAAAGTCACAGATGAAATTAATAGTTTATTCATGGGGAAATGGGATGTTTCTACCAGAAGCAGAAAAGGAAACCTTTTGAATTATCAAAATATTTACCAGACTCCCTTCCTCCCAACATTCAATATATTGAACAATAAGGCTCGTCCCTATTTTGTTCTGCCCAATAAGCAACTGTTGTTACAGTATTAAGCAGTACATAAGGAAAAAGACTCCCAGATATCACACTATGAGGCTAATTGACTGGTTTGAGTTGCTCATTTTCCACATCCCTCACACTCTTAAGAACTCACAGCAATTATATCAAAAGCAAGCAGTGGAAAAAACTCTGGATTTGAATGACAATGAAAAGAAAATTCAGATGCAGCAGAGGCAGTCAGAAGCACCAAGTCCCTCCAAGGCCCTGACCAATACCTGCTAAAACATCCTGGAGTCTAGTTCATGATGTGTAGAGAAAACAAACGCATTCAGGTATTATTCTTTGTTGTCCAGCTTGCTTCACCCCCCACCATCACACTACACTGTTGAAAACCTATGCCGTGAAGCGTACACGATCCTGAGTCTCCCAGAAAAACCTGGCCACAAGGTCATCTCCCATACAGGTGAGGATCTCAGTGTCTGGATCAGAGGGTCCTGACACATTGCTGCTGGTTAGGCCCAGTCTGGGCACACAGTTCTTGCTCCTTTTTTCCCTTCTATTTTCATACTTAGAACACTGCTTTCACAAAAGCCTGTTTTAGTTTCTATGCCCTCATCTCCATCTACTCCCTCCACTGTCTTCTCACCTCTCACAGCAAATGAATCAAACCCCAATTTAGGAATTGTTCAATAATAAGAAGTTTGGATAGAAGCGCAGCTTGCGAGGACAATTCACTGCAGGTAGGTCCTGGCTCTCATCTCTGCAGGGAACACTGGCCCCCATCATAGCCATGGGCACCTGCAGGAGGCACGGGCTGTCCTTGCACTGAAGTCTTGTTGTACAACACTGTAAATCCAGCGCTTCCCAAAGAGCCAGATACATTGGGTGTGTTCACACATCCCCAGAATGGCTCAACTGGCTGCAGACTGCAATATATCTACCCAGCTGTTCCATCTAGACCTTCTTTAAGCCAAGAGGCCTTTCTGACCTTAGAGACTGGACATGAAGGACTTAAAGGTCTTAGAGGGTCACTGAAAAAGATGCATATAAGAAAAGTGGTATTTTGATTCTTTTGCTTCTGTGCACTCCCAACTAAAGTTTCACACCTCAAGGATTACAGCAGCTCATTTGCAAAAAGAAAAAAAATAGTTTAAAGATGCATCTGAAATCTTCCCCCTCAATTACTCTGTACTTGTTCTTGTGATTAGAAACAAAATCATGAGGGAAACAGAAGGAAATTCCAAGCTAATCAACACAGGCAATACTTCTGTTCTGAATTCCTGCAAAACAGGGGTGGCTGGGAGGGTATCCATGTTTTGCTGTCACAAGACAGAAAACCGGAACAGAGAATGCAACTGCAGAAATGGTGAGATCTACATACTGAGAGAATCCTCTAATATGTTGTAGCTGATGAGGATCTGTAAACCACAGAAGCCCTTTTTCTTACAATGATCTGGAATAAGAGACAAAGGAGGGACAAGCCTGGACAGAAGATGAATAAACATTAGCTACCAGCAGCCCAAAATAAATGTCCAGTACCCAAACCAATCATAGAATATGTTGCACATGACCAGTTTCTGCAAGGATCAATAAAATACCTTCTCATGGCAACTCAACTTAGCAGTATGGTCTCACAAGATTTTATTATTGCTGCTTCCAACCTTGACTGAAGCTTTCAAGGCTTCCTGTTTTGCTAGAACACACACATCATAGTAAAAGTAATTAAAACCGAAGAAGCTTTAAATTTCCTCTAAACCATTGCAGAGACCTCCCACGTAAGAGTGACACTTTTCAATCATCCCAACCACTACTTCCCTGTTGAAGTCCTGTAACAGCTGAACAAGAAATTATTTCTTTGATTCCAATTTCCTTCTTTCACTCCTCCTTTCCCTCTCTCTCCCCTCCTTTCCACAAACAGGAGTAACAGAAAAGCAGAGCAGCATTTTTATTACAAAACTATGGAATAATTTGAAGTGCCTTAGGATGTCCCCAGACTCACTAGAGCTGCCCCAGAGCAGTGGTCTCCAACCTCTTTTGATGGTGCAAAAAAAGTAAAGACCTTTTTGAGCACGCACCTCCAATATATGCGTATTTACATATAAATTATATACATCCCACTGTACTACTCTATTATGCACATTATAAAACATATACTAATATATAGAAATTTTAAAAGGATGAGAATTATAAAAGAATCACCACTAGAACATCTGCAGAGCACTAAGCCTCAGAAGTTTTATTACTGAGTCTGGTAGAAAAAAAGAGTTGGTCCAAAGCAACTATTATAAGGCAACTACAGTAAGATGTAGTTTTATTCCTCGCTATAACCTATGAGCTGTCATTAGTCAAGGTGCTGAACATCAGCAGGCAAGGTATCTGTGCTGCTTTTAAACCTCACTTACGAATAAAGGTTTTCCACTAGATTAAGTTCTTCCACATGCTAACAATACTTAACAGCCCCTCTCCCCTCCGAGTATTTCTGCTTTTGGAGTTAATACCAGATAACTTAAAACACAACTACACAAAGCTTTGCTTGATTAGAAACTACCAGATGATTGTCTACATCCTTCTGTTCATGGATATCTTCAAAGAGCACAAGCTACAAAGCGATGCCATGTTCACTGAATAGGCTTTGCAGTATTTTCTGCCTTTACTGCTGACATCTTGCCTTTCACAACTTTATGTTTTTTGGTTGTATTGAAAAATTATTTTTTTGGGGGTATTAAAAATAAGCTGTTCAAACAAATAAAGTTTTTTTCTCTTTCAAAGCAGATAAGCTTTAACTATTATCTTCTTTTCTAAATCACAGCTATCGATACTGCTTGTCCTGACTCTTTGGCAAAGTTACAAGACAGCAAGAAACACACTGCACTCAAAAGCTGCTGGCCTTGGAGGACACAGAAGCGATCTCCACTATTCAAAGACTATTCTGTACTCTATAATGGTGGCTTAAAGATGTCTAGCACTTAACAATACATAATAAAGACAAAGGCTTTGAGCCTCAAGGAGTTTACACAACTTTAATCTCCCAGTCTTGCAATTGCCACTGTGTGGCTGGGCTGGCACTAAGCAGAAGCACATGGAAGCTATGCATTAATTGCTATGCAAATAAAATGAGTGTATCACAAGTTCAAAACAGACCAAAGAAGGCTGTTAAAGCATGGAACCATTTTGCATAGGGTCCTGGGGAAGATAAAAGCTTGTGCCTTGAAACTCTCTAAGCTCTTCTTTCTGCCCAGCTTAAGCCGGACTGAAAAAAAAAAAACCAAAACCCAAGAAATCAAACATCAAATGAGAGGTTTCAGCCTTTCACTCCAGTGAAGGTGAAGAACTCTGCCCCCAACACTCCTCTTAATACAGGAAACCATAACCTTACTACCCAAGCAACCAGTGTTGGCTTTTTTAGACTCCCTAGAAGCTGTTCATAGCTGTTATCCCTCTTGTAAACTGTAGATGCCATGTTTACTTCCTCCCCCAATACAGAAGAAAGAAATAGCAGAAAAACAAAGCTAGAACACATAGAACACTTGCATATACAGGCACATTTTGCCCTGAACACCACGGCTAGAGCTATCTATGGAAAACACACTTGGCTCACATCTCTGCTTCACTTTTCCTACCATTCAAAAGAGCTCTTCAGTTTTGCAAATATACAAGAAAATGAGCATTCTCTGCTTCCTCAGCCCTCATTCTTCTGCTTCTGATCCGCCCTGTTTCTTGCTTGGAAAGGATGTTTTGCTCTTCCTTTCTGCTTCCCTTCTTTCAAAACATTACAGAACAGCTTGCTAGGTAACTATTCCTAGCTATCAAGTTCCCAGTTAGGTGATTTGACAATCAATGACAATATAATCTGGTTTTCCTACTATGAGCACGCTCTCCTACATTAGCTGTGTCCTTATGATCAGGTCCAAAATAGAAGGAGACACACTTTATGCAGTATAAATTTTATCAGGAACACACACTAAACTTCCTGAGAACCGCAAACCCATTATGGACATACTTCATTCAAACATAATTTTTCAGAGATAAATGCATACCCTTAAATTAAGTGGGATATGAGGATAATGTTTAAGTAGATAATACCAGTTTTCTCTTCTCCAAAAAAACATAGATTCCCTTTCTCAATATCAAGTCATTATAATATCTGGACAGGTTTACTGTTTGTTGTTTAAAGTCATTGGTAAAACACAGATCATAGTGCAGCTGGTAAACACCGATCTGACCTAATCACACTGACCCACGCTTGCTAGAGAATAAAGCTGAGAATTCTGAGATGATAAAGTTAGAACCTACTTTTCATAAGACGTCAATCTTGCAGCGACATTTTCCCATTTTTTTAATTCTAAATAGCACAGAGTACATGTCTTCTGTTGCTTTATGGAAAAAAAACCATTTACATACTGACCAGACAATCTAAAAGCAAACATTTATTTTCCAAGTCTGTATATTCTCTATCCACAGCCAAGGTTGCTGTCATACCAATAGCTCAGCACGTAAGATGAACAGACAACGGAAAAAATTAAATATATAGCAATACAGTTTAACCACAAGGTTGCAGTCTTTTAACCCTATCTTACCAGTGTATCTATCTACCTGCATCTGTAAACATGTTATTTTTTCTCTATTGCGAATGAAACTAAATCTACAGAGCAACATAATCTGTGCATGGAACAGCAAAGATAGGAGTTACAAGGAACCGTTGCTTGCAAGAGATTTAACCCAATTTTAATACTATGAACCTCCTAAACATAGAGCACACTTTTCTTTACCCACAATTATTGCTGTGTGACCAAATAATGTGCATATCATATAAAATGGCACAACTAATTTAGAGGATTTGGCTTTATATGCAAGAACCAAACATGGTATCCGTTGTTCCATCAGTATATCCCCTAATGCCTATATCTCTCCATGAAACTGCACTAGTAATATATTCATAGTAGGTAACACAAACCACTGCAGAACACAAAAATTAACTGAAGTTATACTTACTGTAATCTGGGAAGCATCCATGAATTGTAGGCCAAAGTAATCAGTTTCCACAAGGTCCAAATGATACACAATCTGGTCAAACAACTCCTGCCCCTTTGCATTTTTCTGTAACAGAAAAGAAAGTGGGTTTTTTTTGTGGGTGGGTGTGGGGTTTTTTGTTTAGGTGGGTTTCTTTCTAAGTTCAAATGGGGGAGAAGAGATGCACAATGGAAAAGAATATCTAAACAGTAATTCTATTTATTCTAAAGACTTGTATTGACATTTCTTTTTATTTTCTTCACAAAAGATACAGTGACATGTTGTTCCTGTCTGCAGCTATTCCAACAGCATCAGACTTTGCTCTTGAAGAAAAATTTCAATGTTCGCTGTAACTCAAAGAAAGCATAGGAGAGAAAGGAAAGGCTTATGTCCTGTAAGTATCCTAAGTCACAGTGCCAACCTTTTAAATCCCAGGAAGCCAAATTCTCCATTAAAAGCTTACTTGACACACTGCCTGAAATCTGCTGCCCGTTATCACATATCAACCACAGTCACGCAGTGCCATACCATCACTCAAGCTGCAAAATAAACTCTGGACAGCTTGAATACTTGAAGAGCACTGTGAGGAAAATTAATGGGATTTGATAAGAATCTTTCAATAATGTGGCTAATTGCAATCCCATTTACAGCCTTTAAAAGGAGAAAAAAAGAAAGGAAAAAAAAAAGCTACAATTGTTACACTTGGCACATTTACAGCCTTTAAATGGAGAAAAAAAGAAAGGAAAAAAAAAGCTACAATTGTTACACTTGGCATGCCATCTGTAACACATAGGCATGGGAAAAAACCTAACCCAAATCACAGGCTACAGGTACTAGTAGAAACGTTAGCTGATCTTAAAGCTAGGCTGCATGGGTTTGTGTACTTGTTCTAAGGTTAACCCAAGAATTTAGATACCCAGTGCTTCAACTTCAAACACTAGAAAATTTTTGGTTTTTAAAGTTCTAACATATTAAGCATTCCCACTTAGTCCCAAAACACAGCAAAATTCACTGATTTCAGATAAAGTAAAGCTAAATAGCATCCAGTTCCTTTAGTCTGGCCTTCTCCCCAAAAGCAGTATCATTTGTAACATGCAGAACTCCTGTCCAGGATTCCAAGCTGTCTAAAACCCGTCTTTCCAGCAAAAGACAAGATGAAGAGTTTAATCTCTCTATTTTTCCAAGAAGGTCAAGCAAGCTTAGGTGTAGCCTGCAAATTTTAAGTTGAGTTTTTTGTGTTTTGTTTTGTTTTCTAACTAACAGAAAATTTCTAGCACAGAAATCGAATCTTACCAAGTTTCAGGAACAGAATTAGGAATTAGGAGCTCCCTTAAAACAAGCTGCATAAAAACTTAAAACATGCATTAAATTATCATCCTAAGATACTGCTTTATTATTTTTTGGGGGGGCAACAGGTGAACAACAGACATTCTTAATCAAAGTTCAACATGCTATTGAGAGCAGATGAGAATACAACAGCTTCTTGAAGAAGTACAGTGCTAAGAAACCACCATCTTTACATATAAAATAATTGCAATAAACCAAGCAAAAAGTTTGTTAAAAAGTATCTAGTATGTATTTTCTCATATGTCATAAATTCAGCACTTGTTAAAAGAAGTCAAGCCAAAGCACAACAGAATTTAAACTGATTCTCCTCAAGAGGGAGGAGAAAACCCTTCAAAGCAATAAAAAAAAAGAAACACCAAGACATGAGGGATTCACAAAACTAGAAACAACTGATTTAATGCCCTATGATCACTCTGGTCCCAGTTGCTTGTTTTATGGCATTAACTACCAGTATGTTTATCTTTGACTGCCACACACCCAATAGAAATCAGAGAGAGCACACTCCACCTTCTGTACCCAAATAGTAGTTAATGTTCAACATGTGTGTTACATGGAGAACAGCTCTGCACAGAATGGCTAGACCATAAAATGCAGTATTACATACACAGCTTACAAGACATTATAACGTTTATTTTGTCACTAAGTGAGCTTTCCCAGCAACTCGTACCACTTAGACGGTAGAGCTGCTGCAGCCAACAAATTGGTGACAACAAACTTTCTTTGAGATGTTACACTAAAGAGGGAGATAAAAGTGACTCACTCATTTACTAACAGTAAAGGATGACCTGCTCTCCCTTCCTCTGCCTCTTCACTACCTGACCATATGGGGAGTCAGATTGCAGACTGACAAATTGGTACCTGTGCATTGAATGAAATGGGTGGTATAGGCAAAACAGAAGGCTTTTTCCTCAGGAGTTACAAATGCCCACATGCATAAAAGTGGTCTCTAATAGAAAAAATGTCCATATTACAAGAAATTATTTTCATGGTCTTTTCCTCCTCCCGTCCTTCTAGATAACACTGATGCTAAAAAAATGCTTCCTCTATCAAAACCTGCTACCATAAAAAGAATATGAAACTGATTTCATACAAGAACTTCTTCATAGTAAGCAGTTTAACCAGTCACACTTTCTCTAAAGACCCTCAACTTGTGCATGCTTTTGGAAGATATATGTAGAAAAAGCAACCTTAAACTAGCAATATTTTAGTCCTACCTTGTTAGACAGATGGTTCAGAACCATCACATATATAAGACCTGCATAATTTCCATTTCAAAAAAGGGAGCATATGACAACAAACAACATACACATACTATTATATACAGTTACTAGTTTATATTATGTTATGAAAGTTACTATAATTGGGAACAGTGATGTAAAGTAAGCTGCAAAGCCTTGTTTGGTTTTTGGAGTTTTTTGTTTGTTTTTGTTTTTAAAAGCCCAACCATTAAACCACTGCCAGTTTCTGCTGGAGTGTTTCTTGGAACCCAGGAGAACTTGTGAAAGCACCATGAAACCTCACAGCCAAAATCGGGGGGGGGGGGGGGGGTTTCAAACAC